AAAGTTTTGGATTATTGTTTGCAGACGGTTTTGAAGGTGGAATTTTTTAGTCTGTGGCATTTGGTGGCAACAGCGCTTCAGGCATAATTTCGGATACTTATTAAAATCTAAGCTCGTTTTAATGCGAATGAAGTTTTGAGGATCCGTGATGGAAATGTGACTTTAAACGCTCAAAACCGGGAAAATTCGGCGTTTTTGATGTGGTGGGCAATTTTTTAACGTACGAGTTTGAGCTTTTTGGGTGCAGTCGCATGGTTCAAGTTTAAGCGCGTTTGAAGTCGGAAAGAAATTGCAGTTCGATGACCTTTGGTGGGATTTTAGTGCAAACTTTCCTTGATGCTCGGGAAAAAGTTTTGGATTATTGTTTGCAGACGGTTTTGACGGTAGAATTTTTTACTCTGTGGCATTTGGTGGCAACAGCGCTTCAGGCATAATTTCGGATCCTTATTAAAATCTAAGCTCGTTTTTTAATGCGAATGAAGTTTTGAGGGTCCGTGATGGAAATGTGAGTTTAAACGCTCAAAACCGGGAAAATTCGGCGTTTTTGATGTAGTTGGCAATTTTTTAACGTACAAGTTTGAGCTTTTTAGATGCAGTTGCATGATTTAAATTTGAAAGCTTTCTTGATTTTCAGGAAGGGGTTTGGGAATATTTGTGTGGCTGGTTTAGGAGTTTGAATTTTTTTTAATTAGTTTGGAGAATTTTGGGCTGAAACAGCTTGAGGCATAAATTGGAATCATTATGAAAATCGTTTTAATGTGAATTACGTTTTGAGGGTTCTTGAAGAAAATGTGACTTTAACCATCCAAAATCGCAAAAATGTTGTTGCTTTTGATGTAGAGTTTTACGCTGCGAAAACAACAAAATAAACACGAGACACTTTGTTGATATGACCTGCTACGTCACAATCGGGATAGRCAACCGACGATACGGATTCGGCGTTTTTGGCGGAAAATGTCTGATTTGAATTTAAATTTGCTTTAAAATCATTATGGAGACTTTTTTGTCAAAAAAATTATATCAGTGTAATGTTTGCCATAACTGCTTTCCATATATCAACATTTAAAAAAAAGTGAAGACACCCTACTATGCGAGCAATTATATTGATAGTGGCAAATAAAACTAATGTTTACATCCGTCGCAGGAAGTTGAGGGAAGGAATGGCAGGATGATTTATTGTCCTGATTCAATTAGGCATGCGACGGCTCTTTCACTTCAATGAAAGAGCCCTTGATATGTCCACAGATAATAGTCGTTTAATCTTTATGTGAAGAGCGTAGACTCGATTATGCTTAACACTTGCAAATGACGATTTAAATCGAAATTTACAATCGTGTCCGGAAAAGATTATACAACGCATTGTGCGGAAATATTTCGAATACTGAGCCGAAATTCAAATAATATCCCATCGATCCGAATGTGGGGTCCAGCTCTTGAACAAACATTCGCTCGTCACCTACATGGGTTAAGCAAGAGCTTTTATTTTCCTTTGGCCGTCTGTCAATAGAGCGCCTTGTATAAACAAAGTTTGTCTGCTGACGATATTGTTATAACCTATTCTTTTGTGGCCGGTTCAATATTCGTGGCATTTTCACAAGATTACCTGGGCCCCCTGAAACTCTATTTCGTTTGACCCTCCATTCCCAACATCAATAACGGTTATCGGAAGAAGCAAATCGCATTTTGATCGATGGAAGAAAGTTCGCAGTTGTGGAGGTTTTTGTCAAGTTGATGTTGAATTGAATTAACGGAAAATGGGATAAAAACTTGAGCAAATGTGTTTTTCGATTGAAACAGTTGAACTTCTATGCGTTAAAGAGTTAGACTTTCGCCCCTGTTGCTATTGCTGAGGAAACTGTTGAGTTTTTCGGGCTTTCATGCCACCGAAGCAAATAAACCTCTGAAGCTAAAAAAATGTCAGCGCGGCTTAAAGCCCGATAAACTTGCCAGATTCTAACAATAATAATGCCGAATTCCGATAATGTTTTGACGCAAATAGTTGTCCTACACAGTCGCTTTTTCAGCTTGAAATTTTCTTCACAAAAGAACCATCCGAAGAACTGTAATTGTGGCACTTTCACGCTGATCAAAGTCAAGTCCAAAATGCGCTTAAAGTATTACGACCTTTGGGATCGTTACTCGCTACATTAATTCCATTCTTCCATCAAATGAATGGGATTCGTGTTATTGTAGGACCAAAAGGTATGTTACCTGGTTGTGTTGGTTTTGCTCAGCCATCGCCTTCTCCTTTGCCTGTCTCTTGCACTTGTACCGATGGTTTTGGAACCAGATTTTCACCTGTAACAACAGAAATGCAGTTTCGGTATAATGGAAAGTAGGACTTTGATAAAATGCGTTTAAAAGTCGTCAGAAAGGCCAGTGTTTGTCTGATTAGTTTGCCAGGTTTACTCCAAAATTTTACACTTTTCAGTTTCCTATTGGGCGAGTAGTTTATGCTGTTTGTCTTCTTTA